ATACATAAATGGTGCAAGATTCTTCACTATTGAAATTTCGTTGTTGCTTTCCATTTGCACCTACACATCTCGCAAAAAAAAGCTCAAATTTGGCATATTCTTCATAGTTCAAAGGGCAATTTTCATCAATTAAATTATGAATTATGAGTGTGAATACATTTGCCAATATCTAATTCTACATTTGATAATAACTAATTCTACATTGGCAGCATTATATTTCTAGTACATTAAAGACATTTTCATGCCTTTCGATTTTTTGTTAGATTTGAGTGTCTTTTTTAAGTATAAGAAGAAAAATACCACACCCAAGAAAGACATTTTCAAAATACAAACAAGTAAAGATCAACAGCAAATTTATTCACACATATTTACCCCACCCACAACATAAATGACAGGGTATGTCTTCTTTAATTGTCAGTGTTTTTTTTTAATCTCAACTATAGCAATTAAGACATTGTCCAAACATTTGCCATTTTAGGCAAATCTGTGGCTCCAAAGTTAAACTGTTAGTAAAAGTAATGCATTTAAGCCTGATGTGTACACAATAGTGTCTTTATATGACTAGATAACCAACGTATTACTTAAATAAAGGTCCTATCCATGTCTGCATTTTTTTTCAAGATTTACAAATTTCTAGCAAGGTGTTGTCTGCATCTTTGCCTTTCAAGGCCAATCAATGGTCACTAAATATAGCAATTATTATTCATTATAATTACCGAATATTAATGGCATGTTTCATTTAGTAGCAGTTTAACTTAGTTAAGTTTACATTGGGTAACATGATGATAAACTGATATGGTATTACTGAGGAAAAAAACTATTCACTACATTAAGGGATATGTTATCAGCAACTGAAAATGCCCTTTTACAAATGACAGAACAGGGACATCCCTTTTAAATACTTCCATATTATCATTTTATTTTTTAATATACTTACTAATCATTTTCAAAGATAAATGTGCACTTAATTATCAAATTATAGTTAAAAAAATTTCATTAACTTAAATGTTACTTAAATCTAAGCTCCAATATTGACAAATATGCATGATTTGCATAGGGAATCTTGAAATAATAATAATAATAATAATAATAATAATAATAATAATCAATTCTCTGATAAAATGTACTAAAATATATTAAGCTGTGATTAAATCTTAGATATTGCCCATTGGTGTACTGGTCCACTTCCCCTTACCAGATCTTACAGGATGTCTACCAAGACTACTTCTATCAACATTTTCTTCATGTGTGGCTCCTGCAACCATACTACTTCTCTGGTCATGAAAAACTTGCCCTTTTCTCAAATGTCTCTGCATGGAGAAGGTCTGATTGGAACTATGACTTTGGGATGCACTGTTGCTCTGCCTTCTTAGTTGATTAGGATCTTTATGAAATCTATTCAGTGATTGATTATGCTTTGCGGGCGGACTTTGTCTCCCCCCAGGTCCATGCCCCTTCACAAATACCTGGTATTCAGATGGGGAAGATGCTGAAATAGTTCTTGAAGACACAGACTGTTGGTACATATGTCTACCCTTAGTGGACTGCTGCTGTTGTGAAAGGCGGTTTTCTGAAGGGGAATAAGGTCTGCTTGGAGAATCCCTCCCTCTTGCTGGAGACCCAGTTTGGTACCTCCTTACTGGTGGCTGGCCTCTTTCTTTCTGCAGAGAGGTGCCTGAAGACATTGTTGATGATGGGGAAAATGCTTCTGGGGATTCCTGCTGCACTACACTTCTAGGAGAACCAGTTTGGCTCCTTGATGTTGCCTCACCCCTACCTCTCCATTGTGTAGGACCAGATGACATAGTAGAGGAAGGTGAAACAGGATCCACAGAATCAGAACCTTTTTGCAAAGGTGACATTGGTGATTTAGGTGGTACAGTACTGCCTCTGCTGGTTGGTCTTTCAGAAGCTGGGGGCAAAGCAGGGTAGGGACCACTGGGGTCTTTGATACTTTTTGTAGAAAACTGCTTCTCCCGAACCACAGTCTCTTCAAAAGTGTAGCCACTTACACCCTGCTCATTCGGTGACAATGGTCTAAATGTCATCGAGTGGGTTTGCATGTCTCCTTTCACTGGGGCTTCTAGCTGATTATTTCTGTTGCCAACTGGTAGATAAGGAAGAGCAACTGTGGTAAGAGATCCAGTTGAATCTATATTTAAAGCTGTGGCACCATTAGGGTTGGGCTCCTGGGGAGACTGAAAAAGTGTTCTTAAAGTTTCCACAGATCTTTGTGGTGGTGCCAGTGGGTTTCCATGCTCATCAAGAGCCTGGACAATCTTTTCCTCTGTTGTTTCCTTCACAGCTACATATTGATTATTTGGCCCATCTTTTTGTGGGTTTGGAATAGTCAAAGAAACATTTGTCATGCCATTTCCAGAGGGACTGTTCCTTGCATCTTGTGGTGGAATGACAAAGGTGAAACTTCTGGATGATTCTGCTCCTGGAGACAAAATGCTTGAGGCAGTTGATGAAGCAGCGCTTTCAGGCCGAAAGTCCATTGTGGCAGACCTCACAGTGTCAGGCGTTCCAGCTGAGCTTCTTAAAGGGTCTGTAGAGTCTTTAGATCTTGTTAAAGCACTATTCTTAATATCAAATGACATCATACTAAATGTCATTTTAGGAAAATCTCTTTCACTTTTATCCGATTCTTCTTCAGTCAGACCTGCAACAATAGTTGGTACTTCTGATCTTGGTTCTTTCTCAATAGGTGTATATCTCTGTGATTCAAGCTCAAAATCATCATCAAATCTCTCTGTTGCTTCCTGGTCTTCCTCCTCTTCAAATTCATTTTCAAGATTGGTTACAATCTCCTGGGTTTCTTCCTCTGCTTCATAATCTTCAATGTGAGCTCCAACTTCCTGCTCCTCTTCGGGTTTCTCTTTAGGTATTGGGTCTGTCATACTAATCTCTTCTTTGGAAGTAATCCCACCTGTCATTGACGTTCCCTCACTAACTAATTTCCTCTTGGGTTTGCTTGTCTCTGCATGAGCTTTTACTGGTTCCTCTTCAACGGGTTTCTGTAGTATAATTTCATTCACATTAGTTTTCACACCTGTAACTGGTTTCTCTAGAACCTCCTTCATGTCAATGGTACTACTGGCAACTTGCTGCTTCTCTCCATCACTTTCATCAACTTCAGGCCATCTGATTTTAAAGTCTCTGGGTTTAACCTTCTCTGCTACAATATCATCATCCATAACTATCTCTTGGATTGGTTCCTTTGCTTGCATCTGGGCTGTTCCCAAATCAACTGGAGTCACATTCTTTTCTTTTCTTGTTGGCAATTCTGGTTTTTCATGCACTTCTTCTGTAGGAATCTTCTGCAGTTCTACATTGTATACTTTCTGAAGAGATACATTCTTCTCAGTGGAAAAATTAGGTTCACTTAATGTTGTAACAGCTTCTATGGGGTTCCAACTTTTTCCCAGGACCAAACGGCACAACATTATCATCTTTATTCTCAGTAGTTTCAACATACATTTCTTCTTTCATGGTATTAATATGGGCTGTTTCATTTCTGGTGGTGACTGATTCTGAAACAGTGGTGATTTCAGCTTTTTCTGGCTCCTTTTTCTTCCAAAAGAAAACTTCCTCAAGCATAGAAACAGTGACTGTTCTTGGTTCACCACCTATGTAGGCTGTGGCTGTGGCACTGGTATCTTGGGTAATGTCCTGGTCACGCACCACTGAAGGGTCCACCTTAGTTGGCATTTCACCCACACCTTGGGTTCTATCAACAGATAGGTCAACATGTATGGTTGCATTTTTCATTTCATCTATCTTTGCCTTAAGCATTTTAGAATAAGGTGATAAATATGACTTATCTTCATATGGGTCCACATTGGTCTCAAAGGTGGTATTTGTAAAAGATCTTGGTTGATAACCTTGTACATAAGCTCTTTTAAAATGAGGCCTTGGTCTTGTCACAGGCTGTCTGGCAGATGGGTGTGACTTTGTATTGTCCACTGGAACAGTGAAGTCTCCTTTAGCTTCACTGAAATTTAGAGAATCATGTGTCCTAGGTAGATGTGTCTCTGGGTGAAACTTTCTATTAGGACTATTTGAGTTATTTGTTTTTGGATTTTTATCTCCTGCTGAAAAAGTGGGAGTTTCCCAGTGAGGACTTTTGCCATCTTTTTCTTCTTTTTTCTTTTGTGCCATTTTGTCATCTTGCTTGTCCATTTTAATATTTTCTGCCTTCTTTGGCACTTTGGGGGCCTGTGCTTTGTTTAATGGCCTATCTGTTTGTAATGTTTCACTGTCATCTGAATCACTTTTTTTCGAATGATGTATTTCATCAGGAACTCCATCAATTGCTGTATTTTTCTTTTCACTGCCACTCACTTCATCCATTGCCGAATTCATTTTGGACTTACGCCCACCAATTTTGTCAAATATGGTACCTATTATATCAGAAGTACTTTCAAAAGTTTCAGACTCATCAGTCATATCATTTTCCACATCAACCAGTTCTTTTGTGATTGTTCTATCTATGGTTACTTCATCATATTCTTGACTTACAGCAACCCCTTCCCTTGCAAGAAAATCACGGTTCTTTGCATCACCGATGTATCCAGGCATTATTTTCTTTTCAATATAAATTTCTTTTGTTAATGTTTGTTTTTCTGGTACTCTGTTTGGCATGAGTCCCTCTTCTCTAAATGCTTTGCTACTATCTGACCTTGCTCTACTTTCTATGTCCTTCTCAGATCTTTCTTTCGCTTTTGGTGATCCTTTCTCAAGATGAATTTCTGCTGTTGACCTGTTGATATCTACCTTTCTTTGGGTTTCTATGTCCATCTTTTCAGTAGATGTTTGATTAATTTCTGGAACTATTTTCTCCATATGTATCCCTTCTGTTGTAGATTTGGAGATAATTTCTGGCTTAGACCTGCCCTCATTATCCGTATCTTGAGTAGCTATACCAAAATTTTCAGGGGCTTCATTTTCAATGTAAATCTCTTCTCTAAACCTTTTATTAATATCTGGCTTATGTTCCTCTCGCACTACAGTACTCTCTGACTCTCTGTCCCTACCTTTCATCCAAGAGGTGACTTTACTAATGACTGACTCTGCAGGCTGCTGTCTCTCCAATCCAGCTGGTCTTCCTGTGCTTTTCTCATTGTGCCTGATAACCTTTAGCTTTGTTATTTGTCTTTGGTTTCCATCTGGGTTATCATGGGCCTCTTTAACAGATTTTATAGCATGGCTGCTTTTTGTATCAATGTCCTTAAAATAAGAATCAATCCTGTCATCAATTGACATAGTTTCCTCAACAGCACTCATATCCTGCAGAATATTGGGGTTTGCTCTAGCATGGCTTCCGGAGTCACTGTGTACTTTTATCTTCCTTGTAGTAATAATCTCATCTTGAAGGTCAGTTTTTCCTTCACTCTGATCTCCTGACCTAAGGTAAGTTGAAGTCTTATAGGAATTGCTGGCTGTGTTATCTTCTGCTGGGAGTACTTCCATATAGATGTTAGATTCATCAACAACCACAGAGGGTAAAAAATGCTCTTGTGTTGTCACATTTGCCTTTGGTAATTTTGGTCCATTTCCACTAGGAGCTTGCAAGTTCACACTACCATGTGCTGTCATGGATACTTCATCAACCGATTCCATTTGTACTTCTGGAACAGATTCCACTTTTTTGTGAACATTTATGTTTTCTTGAATTCTGGGAGAGGCAGGCACAAGTTTTTCAGAGAACATCTTCATATTTGACTGAAAATGTTGTTTTGCTAATTCTTCAATTTGTCCTGGTTTTACTTCATCATGCTCTGAGTGTCTGTATTTAGTTACTTTAACACCTCCATCAGTATAGCTCCTTACAAAATGTTGGTCACCTGAGAAAGAGGCACCTTGATGTCCACTTTCCTTCCAGAAATATGGAGAGGTGCCATACCTTCTACTTGACTGCTGTGTAGATACATATCTTGAAGGTGTCCCTGTCAGAACATTTCCAAATCTTTTTGTATTAGATGTGTTGGGGTTGTACATTGTCCAATTAGAATCATCTCTATTTACCTTTAACTTTGTAAAAGCATGTCCACTCTCATCATGTCCACCAGTATTGTTCACTTTTACTATGGGAAAAATGTTGCTTTGCATTTCTCTACTGCTTAAAAAAGCATGTGAGTCAACCTTTGAGTTAGAAACATCTTCAATAGTATAGTTCTGAAACTCTTTTTCAGTGTACTCTTGCTGCTTCTCAGAATTAGAAACATTTGACACATTGACCTTCTCTGGAACTGCTTCCAGTGCTGTGTGACCTGTGCTGCTCCTTATTTGCCCTGACACTGGAAAGGTCTGGTGGTTGCTACTTATGGCAGTGTCCCACTGTTTCTCAATAAATACTTGATGTGCATCATCATACACCAAGTTGTTCTCTGAAGCTAAAGGAGTGACAATATCTTCATATTTGCCCAAGGCAGATGACTGGATATCAGAAGAAGGTCTCATATGTTCCTCCAGCGTAGGTGAAGGTGTTCTTGTACTGGGACTTGTAGATCCTGAGGGAATATCTATTTCTGATTCAACTAGACTCGAGTGATACAAACTGGCACTGATATCTGTGGCTGCTTGAGATTCAGGAGAGATGACTCGGTCTGCTTGTTGGGTGTTTTCTTTATTATGTTGCCAGACAGATCTTTGACTGATGGCAAGCTGGTCTCTAGTGTCTCCTAGAGGATGTTTTCTTGATACCTCTGGTGACTCACTTTCAGAAGCAGAAGACAGTTTTGTCACTGTCATTTCTGAAGTTTTGCCTATGTGTTTAAAACTCTCTTTCTTATCCAGCTGGTTGGTTGATAACTCTTTGTCAGAAACTAAAACTGGAACCAAATCCTCTTGCTGAATGTGATTAGTTTGCTTCACTAATTCAGTATCTGCTTTGGTGCCAAATTTATTGGTTAAGATCCCTGTGTTAGAACTTCTTTGATCTTCAACAACAGTAACCTTGTCAGTGGAAATGGCTATACCTTTCCTTATGTTCCACTGATCATTTGAAGCCTTTGATTCTCTGCTAATGACCTCATCCCTAGTCAGAATGCTGTGATGTGAAGTGTAATAATCAGTGTCCATGTTTGCTTCTCTGGCATGTGAAAGATTTTTATTACCCTTTGTTGTATCAGTAACAGTCTGTGCTTCCAACTCCATGTATTCCACCGAAGGTGACCTCTCTACACCTTTCTGTAAAGAAGACCCAAACATGTTCTGATCTTTTCTGTTTTGCTGTTTACTTTTTGCATTGCCATCAGAAGAAAATGATTCCTTATAAGTCTGGTTGGTCAATTCAATATATTCCCTGCTTGTAGGTGTCTCTATACCCTGGTCCACAATGTATCTAGCTCTGACTTCTGGATCAGTTGACATCTTAAGATCATGCACTGTGGTATCATGGTAGACCTCTTGACCAATATCCAGTCTGTTGGGTCTCATAAACGACTGTCCAGATTCTTCCTGAGATTTATTCGACTGCACATCAACAATGGCATATGGTTCAACAGGTAAAGAAGCTGATGAAGACTCCAGAATAGTGGTATCATGGTTCACTGAAGTATCAAAGGCCTTATCTTCACCAAAAAACTCAGTTTTACTGTGTGGTGAATCAGGAGACGATGGTGAGCGAGGAGACGTCGACCTTAAGACATTTCTGAAATCTACCTGCACAGGTTCACTGTATCTCCACTCTTTTATTTCTTTGTTTTGTATCATATTATCAGAAATACGTCTTAAGGGTACGTGAATATTTTTCACAAGCTCTTCTCCTCTTTGCTTTGAACCAGAGGCTATATGATCTTTGTCAACTTTTCGTAATGTCACCCAGTTTTGAACTGAAGATTCATTGTGTTCTCTAGATTCATCTACATCTTTTACAGAGGCATAACCAAGAGGGGTTGTTTTCAGAGGCATTGGCAGGGTTTTGGCAAACATGGCATGCATGTCATCATACCTGGAATCATCTAATTTCTTTGGTGCTGGAGTATTTTTTGAAGAGGCTTTTTTCTTTTTAGAATCTCTGAGAAATTTAATGGAGTACTCGTCCATACATTCTTGCCATATGTCCTCCTTGGACGCATGCCGCTTCTTTTTGCTCAGTCTACCTCTCTTTGGAGCATTTTCTTTATTCTTCATGGATGATCTTTTACGGCTTTTGCTAGAAAGTCTCCTGATTAAATCTGGTTTGTCTTGTTTACTTCCTTCCTTTATGTCTACGGTGTCCACTGAACTAGTTGTGATAGTTTCAATTAAATGAGCTGTTTCTACATTATCTTGCCCAATCTCCATTTTCTCCTTTATGCTCTCCTCCAAATCACTGTCGCTTAAATCCTGTTCAGGACTCCAAGTTTTCTCAGCACTTTCAGCCAGTGGTTCATTTGTGCTCACTTCCTCTGTAACTCCCCCTGCCTCCATTTCTGTCATCTCCCTGGGATGTGTGAACTCATCCGTGACTACAATAGAAGGAATGGATTCCCATTCAGGATGTGTCCTCGGTTCTTGCTGATGGTAACGCTGTAGTATACGAGGTGTGTGAACCCTGAGAGTGCCGTCATCTGCCTGGGCAGCAGCGCTCATCCCTAGGGATTTGTAGTATTTCATTCGACCAGATTCTTTACTGTCTCCTTGACCCATGTTGGTGTTCTTCACAACTAAAATTTAAGTACACAATTCAGATCATTTTAACAGGAACTCGGTTTAAAAAGTAAAACTTGTGTAAAAATATATTATGACACATCAAAATCAAATTGTATTTATTAGCCGACTTACAATTAAAATAAATATTATAATATTTAAAGGATTTTACCAGTATAAAAAGAGCTTAATGAAATGTAAATTAAGAAGTAAATTACAGTTATACTAAGTCAATTTTTATTACTTTACATTACAGTTAAACTTCAATACTAAAACATAACTTTCAAGAAACAAAAAACTTGAAACTGTTTGTGTAAATGATAATAAACTTTAAAACTTATCAGAAATATCTTAAAGAACTGATTGGCAGACAAATAAAATAAAGTACTTAGAAATATCAAATACCTTAAAAAACATATTTTAATTTAATTATTAATACTAAGATAACTTACACTTTTCTAAAATCTAGTTTGGCACTGCACTGTATGCTCTACTTCTTCATTAAGACAGTCAACAAGCACTGATGAACAACTTTTTCTATAGCCAACAAGTCCAATGGATCAAATTGCCAATTTGACAGAAATGTGCATAAACGGACAGTCCAGCTTCGGGCAAGGGATGGTAGTTCAGTCAAGAGACATCCAGAGAGACAGAAAAAATCTTCCTGCAGTTCTACAACCTAGGTCACAATTAGGTTCTCTGTAGGTCTAGCCTATGGCACAAAATTAGCAGACTCATCCAATACAAATATAGCTTCAGACTATGGTAACCTGTCACTGTGCAAATTTGAATCCTCTGTTCACCTGATTAGTAACCACTGGCCTTATTAATGTACGATCAAAAGAAACATTTACGCAGTAAGGTGTCAAAATATAAGCTTGCCTCTTCTGAGTTTTCTTCAATCCGCAATAGAATCATTTAAAATTCCAGTCGAAACACAGGATGTGCAAATCACCAATGAACAGCTCATTGCCAGCAGACTACAAGACTTGCATATGACACCGACTTGATCAGTTGCTGTTGGTAGGATTGGCTACAGGTATTTTGACACCAAGCCGGTAGAGCATACTTCTGGTTAGTGCCAGCCACTTGTCACATTAGCAGTCACAAAGTGTGCCAGACGAATACACTGGAATGTGTATTCTCATCATCAAAGTATAACGATAAGGCCCAGAGGCACTTGAAAGGTGCTTAAAATTTTGTTTACTGCTGCAGTTCGATCCTGGTGCCATTTCACCCTGAAGGCATGGAAGCTGCATTGACTCCCTTCCAGCAGATATGACTATTTACACCCTTGGCCTCAGGACAAATGCATGATTTTATTTGGTTTTACCAGTGCCCAATTCCATCTGTGATGAAAGATTTTCAATATGCATGTTTTTAAAATAAGTATAATTACTGAGGTTTAGTAATTGTTAATACGGTACTTTTTAATTTATTATTTCATTTTACATGTGCAAATTGAAGGAAAAATTCTCCTTTTCCTGATAATCAATGAGATGGAATGCTGGGGAGAAATTGACATAATTTTCAGCAACAATATTGAGTTCATGCTTATTGTAGTCATTTATTCCAACCAGACTTTGCCCTAGCCCCTAGTTTGTTTAAATAAATGATTAAAAAGTAAGTTCTGTCCTTTAATGATTCACCAGCTTTACAGGTATCGTATATCATTTGAACATAGAACTTCTTCTGAAAATATGTATTTATTCATTGTTAATAAATAATATTGATGTTACCAGGTTATATTAGTACATATCTTGAAGTGTTTCATCTTATATGATCTTGGTAAGGCAGTGAAATAAGAAAACCGAGAGTATTGCTTCTTTTCAATTCCAACTGTGACAACTGAAACAGTACATCCTACATGAGCTAATACATAACTTAGTGATAAAGATTTTAACCACAGAGGCCAATCCAATGGCAGACGGTGGCAGTGCAATGGACAGCAGAAAGTTCATATTGACTTCTGTTAGCTGGAGATTCAGGCACAAACTCAACTGAGATAAGGATGCTGAGATAGAAATACTTAGTCATTGCAACTTGACTTAGGTTTGTCTTACTTCTGCTCCTAAACTAATTTCTACACCTCTTTCAATAGCACTGTTTCTGAAACTGTATCACTCTTATTGCATTTTCGTATGTTCACTTAACAGATAGATAGGCAATGTAAGTCAGATCACAGTAACCAGTTATGCAGGTTAAATGCACAATATTTTATACTGATGATAATTTTTGTCACTATCAACCATGAAGCTACTTGTCATCAGCTGGAAAATGAATTCCAAGTTGACGTCTGACTTCATCCAAGATTTCCATGTTCCACAAACTGTGTTCATGAGGCATGGTGCTGCTCTCAAGTTCTCCTAGAAAAGCATAAAAAAAACAGTAAATTAAGTTCTCAACTCTTCTTTTCATAAAAGAGAAAATCAAATATTCATGGATTAAGACAATGATGCTATAAACACTTTTAGTATAAATAACTTTCTGCATTAAATAGACATGTAACCAAAAGTTGAAACAACTTTAAAGACAAGTACAACTGGTACAACTATTAAGAATTCAGGTATACATATGTACAAAACCATGGAAAAAATTATGCCCAGTAAACTCCATTTTCAAACTCTTGAATTCTGATTTTCATATTAACAAGTAAAATTAACCAGTCTCATCTCCATGGCTCAAACTCAGAACTCTGATACCTGCTTAAGTCTAGATCATAATTTTGTACACAGTTTTAGAAGCACTTTAGCTCCCACTAAGGCTTAAAGGGAAAATGCTAAACATTCCAGGAAAATTCAAGAATCGACCATATAAAGCTCTAACAAACATACAATGTCTTAAATTTTTTTCTTCACCAACTGTTTATGCAAACCTTTGATCAGGCACTGTCTCACAGCCTCTGCCTGGTACTGGAAACCACCAGTATTTGGATAATTCCCCTTTACTGCAGGCTCAGGAGCAGGAAAATTTAATGTCTCAGTTGGAGTTTTTAATTCCACAGGGCACCACTGTATAGGGCCAATTTTCATGGAACCCTTTGTTCCATATACAGTCACACTGTTTGTCGGGGTGCATGTCACTTCCAATGCTGTCTTGATAACTGCTGCCCTGCCACTGCTGTAAATGAGGGTCACAATAGCTAGCTTATCTGTCCCTGGAATAATAATAATAATAATAATAATAATAATAATAATAATAATAATAATAATAATGATAAAGAATGCAGAGAATACTTAGTGGATTTTCCCTGAAAGCTTCCACTTAACATACATGTAATATCATATGATTTTATTATATTTACCATTACAATAAACTGTATATTGTTTATCATGTTTGCTAAGACACCAGTTTCAGTGAATATCAAAATGCAATTTTAAATAATAAAATCACAAACATGTAAAATATATAACCACTTAAAGGTTCAGGAATTACTTAAAGTAATGTGGAGCAGTACTCTTACCTGTGTCATATAAATGTCCACTTGCAGATATTTTCATGGGTTTCTCCCCATATATCATGGAGCAATATTGGATCCCATAGCAACCCAACAACATTATAGATCCCCCTGAATAACTGGGACTAAAAAACTTCTCTGGTGGATTTTCTAACAAATTGTAGAACCCCCTGGTATCAACCAGTCTGACATCACCAATGGTACCATTTGCTATTTCTTCTCGAAGTTTAATGGCTGCTGGGAAGAATCTGGTCCAAAAACCCTATAGTGACATAATAATCTCTTATAATGAAAATGTCTACAACACAGCCCTAACCTGTCCCATGCTGTTACTATATTGTATTGATCTTTAAGGGTCCTTCAGTGCCAATTACTTTCAGAGAGTATGTAGCTGTTACTTTTTGTTTCCCATTGTAATGTATCATCATGCATGGAGGGTAATGTGTACTTGTGACTGAAGTTAACATTGATTCTGCAGAAGAAAAAATACTTTAAATGGTATATTATAATTTTTATCTTATGCTTCTTATTGAATGAAGGGACAGTTTTAAATTTAAATGACATTGTTTATGAAAGAAAAAAAACAACAACAAATAATCCAATAAAATAACTAGAGGATCAGAGAGGCGATACCGCCTCCGAATATTGTACCACCAGCTGGAGTAAGCGCGATCGTATAGACCCCCCACTCACACAAAAAAGGGACACCACCACCAGTCTTGTGCTTGACAAGCTGTAAAAAATGCAATCAACAAGAATTCTCAAAATATGCGAAAATATATATATAACTAAAAATGGTACAATCAAAGTTCAGTTCATAGTGAGGTAGGCCAAAGGTCAATTCAAGGTCACAGTAAATTTCCAGTATATGACTTCCTTTTCAAGTTCAATAGCGACTATGGGCCTATCTCTGCCAGTTTTGGAGATAAAAGGGAACCAAAATTTGCAATGTTAAGTTCATGGTAAAAAGTAGGTCAAAGGTCAATTTCAAGGTCACATTTAGATTGCCAGTATATGACTTCCTATTCAAGTTCAATAGTAACTATGGACCTATCTCTGC